ATTCGGATCCTCGTAACGCTAGGCACATAAGCTCGCTGACTTGCTACAATAACTCAACATGCTCGAGACATTGAACTTCTTAAAAATATAATAACTTTTCTGAACTGTGGATTAATTCAATCTAATCTAGATTCAACAAAAAAAGTTGCAGTTTCTAAATTCTCAGACATTACTGAGAAGATTATTCCGTTCTTCAACAAATATCCCTTAAAAGGTACTAAAGAAAAGGATTATTCAGATTTCAAGAAAGTAGCTAATCTAATAGAAAATAAAATACATCTAACTCAATCGGGGTTAGATGAAATTGATCGTATCAAAGCTCGTATGAACTCGGCTAGACGATAACTCGTTCGTATGTAGGGAGAGACCAATAATATGTAATTAACATCGAAAGCCTCGTTTCAATATAGTTAACATTAATAAAAGAGCTATTCGTTTTAAGTGGTTAGTGAGTGATAACATTAATCCTTAATTAGAGACAATAGTAACTCAAGATTAAAGATACCACAATAGCCTGATCCTAATTTATTACAACTATAATAAGGATAAAGTTGTGGACGGTTCCTACTCATTTAAAGCCTGCTAATGATACTGAATTTGGTCATTATTTGGCAGGGTTAATAGATAGTGATGGTCATTTTAGTAGTAAACAACAATTAGTCATTGTATTTAATTCATTAGATGCTTCCTTAGCTTATTATGTAAAAGAACGAATAGGTTATGGTACTATACGTAAAGTTAAAGATAAAAATGCTATTCTTCTAATAATATCAGTTAGAAAAGGTTTGGAAAAAGTAATTCATTTAATTAATGGAAAAATAAGAACAGAAAATAAATTAAATCAAATAACTAAAAATATCTTAAATCACGTAAATTATACTGAATTTAGTAAAACAATTAGTTTAAAATTAAATTTAGATAGAAATTTAGAAAACCATTGGTTAGCAGGGTTTACTGATGCTGTATCCGAAGGATCGGGTAGTTTCCAAATTAAATTAATTAATCGTAGTAATAAAACAGAAGTGTTATTAAATTTCCAAATTGTAGCACAAAAACAAAATAATCTTTTAATCTTAATTAAAGACTTATTAGGAGGTAATATTGCTTATAAAAAAAGCCGAGACAGTTATTTATATGATTCATCTAGCTTTGGTTCAGCTAGAAGGGTGATAAAGTATTTTGATAAATATCATTTATTATCTAGTAAGCATGTAGATTACCTAAAATGAAGAAAGGTATATCTGAGAATGTCTCAATAGTATGCTCCCAACACTGTGTGTTCCTCTATATAAGGAGATTAATTAGATAATTATTAAAGTGGGTTGCCAAGGCTTGCCTAGCCTAAAGGGAGAATGAGCCAATACACTATGATACACAAGAGATTTTTCTGGCATTGTAAATTAGATAGTGAACAAGGCACTCCCTGGGGTTGTGGAATTTCCACTAATAGTTTAAAAACGCAGTAATGTAGTGTATAATAACATTAAATAAAAAAAAGTTATGTACAGATTTAGTGATACTACTGTGGTTTAAGATAAAGTCCTAACAAGGATGTTAAATTTTTGAGTATTAATTTAAATAGATTTAAAAAGGCTGGCGGAGTCAAGCCGCATAAATTAATAGATAACTATTTTATTAATCAAAATTATTGTTATATATTAATTATACCTGGTTTTGGTATTATTAGTACAGTTGTTTCTGCTAGTTCAAACAAAAATGTATTCGGTCAAGATGGCCTTTTAATTGTAATATTACAATTAATGCAACAAACTATATGCAGGGAATTCAAGAATTGTTATAACAATTCGCTATTACAAAATACTAATAATGTAAGAAATATTATATATTCCTTTATAGTAACAATTTTTGTAATATTGAACAATCCGCAGATAACCAAAGCACGAAGTGAAAACTTCAAATCTGAAAAACTAAATTTTTCGGGTTAAGCATGTCAGTAGAAATTTCAGAGGTCATAGTTTCATGCTTTCACTTTGTAGTAATAATAATTTTTTTAATTCATTTGTCAAAAGACAAAAAATGAAAATATTTAAACAATTAAGACCCTTACACAATAATACCAACAAATTAAATCCTTATTGAATTACTGGTTTTACGGATGCTGAGGGTTGTTTTATTATTAATGTTAGGCCTAAATCTAACAGGAATAATGGTTATGGTGTAGAATTAGTTTTTAGGCTAAATTTACACTCAAGAGATAGAGCTTTATTGGAAAAGATTAGAGATTTTTTTGGGGTTGGAAGACTTACAGCAGTATCTGAAAATTACGTTCAATATTGAGTTGGTGCTTTAGAAGATATACTTGTTATTATTAATCACTTTAATAATTATCCTTTGATAACACAAAAATGGTCGCACGTACTCAGTTATTTAAACAAGCTGTAGAATTAGTGGAACGAAAAGAGCATTTAACGCCTGAAGGTTTAAAAAAAAAAATAGTATCTATCAGAGCTGTATTAAATAAAGGTTTATCTGAAGATTTAAGAGCAGCTTTCCCTGATGTTGTTCCTTCTATAAGACCTAAAGTCCAGAATATAATTGTCCCAGACCCTAATTGAATATCAGGTTTCGTAGATGGTGAAGGCTGTTTTAATGTGAGATTTACAAAAACCTCCAAAGGTGATTCAGTTAATCTCAGGTTTTAGTAACACAACATGTACGAGATGCAGAACTATTAAATAGTTTGGTAGACTATTTTGGGTGTGGTAGATATTGTGTTAGACTTTCTACGTCTTTACACGGGGATTATGTTGTAACAAAATTTGAGGATATTAGATGTAAGATTATCCCATTTTTTGATAAGTACCCTCTTCAAAGTGAAAAATACTTAGATTTCTTAGATTTTTAAAAATTATGCTACTAAAGGGAAATACCTATGTTTCTTTAACTAAAGAATCGTTAGCAGAGATTAAACAAATAAAATCACTATGAATAAGGGTAGAAAAATTTAGTAGATGTTTATTTTAAAAATTTTCCTTTAAAATCTAGTAAAGCTTCAAAGATTAATTTAATAAAAGATTTTTATCTATTGCAGCATCATAGAAATTTAGATGTCAATAAAATTGTTTATTAATTCATTTTTTTTTTAATGAAAAAATTATTATTACTAGTGAGTAGGAATTTCAGAGACCCTACGTTTGTGTCAACTTGTTTATTAATTTCACTAGCTCTCCGGATTAATTCAATTAAAATAAACAAAAATAATAGAAAAATATTCGACCCGGTCGTATATCTCATTAATAGTGGTTCACCAACGGATACTAATAATAATAACAATAGTAGTCCTAAATTTACAGATGATAATAATGCTAATAATAAAGCTTTTAATGAATGATTAGCAGGATTGATAGATGGAGACGGGTGTTTTCTAAAAAGGATATTCTAGTCTAGAAATAGTTCTGGAACTAAGAGATAAACATTGTTTATATCAAATTAAAGATAAATTTGGTGGTTCAGTTAAGCTACGGGCTGGTAACAATCATTTAAGATATAGATTACACCATAAAACAGGTATGTTAAATCTAATTCATTCTATAAATGGTTTAATTAGAAACCCTGCCCGAATTCTTCAATTAGGTAAATATGTGATAATTATGGTATAAAATTGATTGACCCTAAACCTTTAACTTATAATAACGGTTGGTTTGCTGGATTTTTTTGTTGTTTTTTTTTGATTCTGATGGAAGCGTTTATATGATATGGTAACGTTGATAAGAGATGGTCCATTTTCAAATTATTGAAAAGCATATTACAAATATTAATTTATTTAATTCTAATAAATTATTTGTAAATAAATATGCTAGTTCAAAGTCTATGCCTGCTTTGTTTAACCATAAATTTAGTACGACTAGTGTTCAAGATATGGGTATTTTTATAACAGGGTTTACTGATGGTGAGGGTTGTTTTATGATTACTTTAGACAAAAATAAAAAGAACAAAACAGGATATCAAGTACGGTGTAGATATTCCATTTGTATTCACAAGAAAGATTTGCAATTATTAAATAAGATTAAGGACTATTTTGGTGTCGGTGGTATAGTTATGCATAAAGAATCTATTTATTATACTGTGACAAATCTAAATGAATTGATGGATGTTATTATTCTGCATTTTGATAAATATCCGTTGATAACTCAAAAACGTGCTGACTATGAACTTTTCAAAAAAGCTATTATATTACTTAAAAACAAAGAACATTTAACAGACGAAGGTATTCATAAAATTTTGAGTATTAAAGCGTCTATTAATAGGGGGTTATCTGAATCTTTAAATATAGATTTTCCAAATGTAACTCCTGTAATAAGACCTTTAATTAAAAATGAACAAATAGAGGAACCTTTTTGATTAGCAGGGTTTACCGAAGGTGAAGGTTATTTTTTAGTTCATTCTCAATCTTCTTCTGGTTCTAAATTAGGTAAAACAATTAGATTAAGATTCCAAATTACACAACATACCAGAGATGAGCAACTAATTAAAAGCTTAATAAATTATTTTGGCTGTGGTTCATATATATCTTCAGGTAAAGCAGGATATTTTCGTGTCGAAAAATTTGTTGATCCCTCCGGGTTAAAGAAAAAATTATTCCGTTCTTTCTAAAATACCCGTTAAAAGGAGCAAAAGTTAAAGATTTTGAATATTTTTGCAAAGTTGCTGAATTAATTAGTAACAAAGAGCATTTAACTGAGAAAGGATTAAATAAAATATTACAAATAAAATCTGGGATGAATTTTGGGCGAAAATGATAAATCTGGTCAATTATTTATTACTGCATCTCAGAAAAATAGATTTATATTAGATGCTTTAGTTGAACTATATGGAGGTACTATATACCCTATGGTTAAAGTAGGTGCATTTAAATGAACTTGTTTTAGAAAAGATGAAGTATTATCTTTAGTTAATACTTATTTTAAAGCTAATCCTTGTAGATCCGAAAAAAAAAAGTTAGATTAAATATGGCTAATAAATTTTATGAGCTTAGAGCATTACATGCACATAAAGCAACACCTGATTCAGTATTAGGTAAAGTTTGAACAAATTTTACTGTTAAATGAGATAAAGTGGTATCTAAATAAATTCTATAACTGGATAAGTAATATATACTGAGTATTTTTTTTTTTTAGTTGACAAAGAGATGGTCCATTTTCATTAAATTGAATAGCATCTAGGAATGGTCGTTTTAGGCTTTTCTAAATTAAATTAAACTCCACTATATGCTGGAAATCCATTAATCCTTTAGACGCTAGTAATTTTACAGTAAAATTTTAGGATATAATAATGGGTAATCAGCAGGAAACCAAAAGCATAAAGATTAAATACTTAACTGAGTAGGATCCCCAGAGACTATTCGTGGAGAATCAGCAAAATCTGTTGATTAAAATATAGTCCGACTTTTTATATAAAAATTATTTAAAGTAGCTTTATAAAAACATTCCGTTTATAAATATACAACTTAAAGTATTAAAAAATGGTCTTTCTACAGATCATAAAAATACAATTAACAACAAAAAGGAAAAACTTAACCCTATGTGAGTCACTGGTTTTACCGATGCTGAGGGCTGTTTTTCCATTATAATAGAAATTACAAATCCATTAAAATGAAGAGTAAGAACTGAGTGTATAGGGGGAATTATTAAAATAGATTAATTAAATAATTATAAATTTTTTAAAAGTAAGTAGATTAAAAATAGAAAGGAAACACCTTTAATTGTTTTTTTTTTTTTTCTTCTTTTTCGGATATAAAATTTCTAATAAAAGTTGTTTATAAAGCTATTTAATAATAAATTTACTACAGATCCGGACTTTTGTTGTAGTAAAAAAATCTAAAAGTTTTTACTCACAATGTATAAGTTTGTTTAAAAATAAACTAGCTACGTTAAGGTTTATATAATTTTTTTTAAATATTTGTATGGCAATTAGTCAGTAAACTTTTATATTAATATAAAAGAGCTGAATGCCAATTATATTTTTATCCTTTATCTTTAATTAAATGGGCCTTCTTGCATTAATCCAGATATTGGTTTAAAATCAAAATCCGTGGATTTTGGGGTGTAGTAAAGGGTAAATCAAATTTAATTAATAAAACCAACTAAAGTAAAAAAAGTTAATATATTTAAGATGGAAAAAAAACAAACAATAAAATATCGTATAATATAAAAACATCGGGACGTACAGATTTAGTAGTATGAGGCTGTAATTTATCTTCTTCAGTAGGTCTAGGCTTAATTTCAAAGCAAGCTAGAAATATGATTGTATTAGCTCCTTATCAACATAGTGTTGTAATAGGCTTACTTTTATCAGATGCGTGGTTTCATTTTGATACTTACGGACTGTGTAATTTAAAGCAAAAGGATTTTATTTGTTTTAAGAAAAGTATGTCTATAGTTAAGTTAAATCAACATTTAACTAAAGAAGGTTTAGATAAAATTAAAACATTAAGTTTAGAAATGAATTCAAATAGACTAGGTTAAATTATCTATTGATTTTCTTTCCTCATTCTATGGGGATTATACAAATCAGGCATACAAATTTCTTATTCTTTTTTTTTATTCTTATATATAGTAAATATAATTTCTATATAAATTGGTTGCTATGCAATGATGTCTATAGGTGTATTAGGATTTGTTGTTTGAAGTCATGAACTGATGGCTTTCTTCGACCGTGAGGTAGAATTAATAAATTTCGCTGTATGCTGGGAAAGTTTAAAGTCTATGGGTACTTTTTATTGTAAAAATTTCATAGATTATACTCAATCAGCCGGTAATCTTAATTTTCTATTCTGGTTTTTTACAAGTAATACAGAGTTACACAATATTTTTACGAATTGGGCTTATGTCAACGTGCACGTAAAGACCAATTTATCTTATTTACACACCAAGTCCTCAACGTTTTTGAATAAAGATAAAAAGAGAATTGACAAGAGAACCTCAGAGACTACACGCGAAACGTCTTTTAATTTTGAATCTTATAGGAAATTTACAGGTAAAACACAGGATAATGTGTCTGATGATTGATTAGCGTGGTTTATTGGGTTCTCTGAGGGTGATGGTGCTATCCTTATGGCTAATGGACGTCCTAGATTCGTATTAACACAGAAGGAGATAGCCATATTAATTCATATACAAGAAACTTTAGGTATAGTAAAGTAAGGAATTTGAGCGTTTTGGACGACTTATCATGAGCAATAAAGATGATATTCGTATTCTAACTACTTTATTCAATGGAAATTTAGTATTAAAAAAAAGAAAAGTTCAATTGAATAAATGATTGGTTGCTCAAGATATGGTTGAAATAGTTAGTAATCCTCTTCCTTTATTGTCCAATGCGTGATTATCTGGGCTTATAGACGCGGAAGGATGCTTTAACATTACACTTTTTAAGAGAGAGGCTATGACACTAGGCTATCAAGTAAAATTAAGATTTATGATTGATCAAAAAGATAGCATAGAAACCTTGAGCTTTATTAGAGATCAATGGGACATAATATTAAGGAACTTTTATATTTTTTTCATTTTTACCAAAAGTTAAGCAATTTAAGGATTATATAACAATATTACCCCAGTATTCTAAAATAAAAACGTTTAACCCAAACAGGTGGCCAATCCTTTAAAAAAAGGGATCGAAACAAGACCCTTAATTTAAACTATTATCTTAAATGTAAAATATCCTATGATACTCTCTTCACCATTTGCCTAAAATAAGGCTTTGGGGATTTTATTTACTAAATAAAATCTTAGTGCTTCGCTTTTTCTTTTTGTTAAGGCTTGAGGCTGAGGACATATCATGGGTAATAAAAAAAATATATATTAAAATGAAAAAAAACAATAAAAACAATCCTGTAGTTCCAGAAAAATTCTATCCTAATTCAGATACCTGTAAAGAGAAAATATTATCTGAAAATACTAATAAATCAGGCGTCCATTGCTTAACGAATTTGTTAAATGGTAAACAATAGATTGGGGCTTCGAATAATCTTAGAAGAAGATTTC